CAGGGAGTCCCGGGACGCTACAGTCCATCCTCAAAACACCTCTTACCTAAACTGATAGGCACTTTAATTGTAAATTCGCCTGAACTAACCTTCCGGCTCCCAAGATGTTTAATTTCTCAAAAGGAGGAGACACGATTACATGTATGGTTTCATTCGACAGACTTTATAAACTGTCGCCTATTTTCAGTGCAGAAGCAAATTAATTTAAAAAAAGTTAGTATTAGTGGCTTTCACCTATTGCAAACTAAACTATCTCTATGGAATTAAGAAGCGCTTTAAACTAATCACAATCCACTGTGAGTACACAAAAGCATGGTTATCCATTCTTAGGTATAACTAAAGAAAAAGTAATTTCAGTAACAAATTCGTCAAATAATTACTCATTTAGCAAGTAGTCTTGAAAGGCACTGTTTTGGTATAGGAACTCAGTGTTTGGATAAACCCGTGATTATGGACAAAAGTTAGCTGATTAAGCGTAAACTCCAAGGGATGAGTGGATACGGAGAAGTCTGGACATAAACAGCTGTCCATTTGTTCAGTATTTTATACACGACCTTAAGAAAAAAGGGCAACAACCTTGTTAAATTACAAAACACTTCACATTTAAGTGACAAATTTCTCAGCAATCCGTGATTTGTTGCCTTAGTGCAAATATAATGAGTGATACACATTAACTGGTAAGGTTTTGAGCGAAACTACAAATGTTTCGTGAATAAGCGAAATATCGCACGTGATACGATGTTTTAAATAGCTTAAATTACATTCGATGAAATCTAATAGGTCGTATGCGCGCCATACAAGTTCGTCGCAATTTGCACAGCAAAATGCGAGCCCTAATTCTCATAGGAGGTTTCGGGACTCGATTACGACCTCTTACTCTAAGTGTCCTTAAACCCTTGGTTGAATTTTGTAATAGACCAATGCTGATGCATCAAATAGAGGCTTTAGTAAAGGCAAGTCATATTTTACCTTATTGAAAAGGTTGGGATCAAAACTGTTATTCTCGCAATTAATGAGGAGGCTGCCTGTCTAGAAAACGAGATTCGGAGGATGTGCAAGATGGTTGTTGAGAGCTAACTGTGCAGGCTTTAGGTTATTAAAAAATCAGGTGTTAATGTGATATTCTCGTATGAATCCGAACCTCTTGGTACAGGTATGGAAAATATGTATTCATGTAACTTCAAGGTGGGCCACTCGCCAATGCAGCGCACTTGCTCTACGAATCAGATGAACCCTTTTATGTTCTTAATAGTGATATAATTTGTCAATATCCTTTTTCGAAATTAATGGAGTTCCATAAATCCCATGGGAAGGAGGGAACCATGGCAGTATGCTACTTTATGTCATTTACGTCAAGGTAACAAAAGTCAAAGAACCCAGCAGATTTGGTGCAGTTGTCTTTAATGACCAATCTGGTGCTGTACAGCGTTTTGTTGAAAAGCCACTAGATTTTATTGCAAACAAAGTAAATGCAGGGTTATACGTTTTTAATCCCTCCATGTTGCGAAGAATTCAGGCAGGTTAACATAGCTTGATTTTACATTTTTTGCAGCTGAGACCTACTTCTTTAGAATTAGAAATATTCCCTCCGATGGTTGAAGATGGTGAATTATATTGCATTGAAATTGATGGTGAGTCACAGTATTTTGAAAAATCATAGCAATCTTAACCACTTTGAATACATCAGTACATTTATCGGTATTTTTTTGCTGATTTAGTTTGGAAACAGACGTATGGGAATATTCTCGTTAATTATTGTGTGTTAATAGTTCTTATAAGTGAAAAACTTGGATTGCTTAATCATTATAGGTATTTGGATGGACATAGGCCGCCCTAAAGACTTCTTACTCGGAATGCAAATGTATTTGGACCATCTACGAAACAAAGGACGCCTTGAACGTCATGATCCCCCTGATTTTATTGGAAATGTCCTCATTGTATGTTAATTTTATTTAATTTTTTCGTTGCATGCAAAATAAATATTACTTTCCCTGGAAGATGCAAAAAGTTGTGAATGCTTGTGCATTCCGCCTGCCAGAAAAGTTAATAAGTACCATTTGATGTACTAACGATTAGTTATTTCTAGGATCACAAATTAGTGTAGCAAATCATTTTGAGGTATCACCCAGTAACTCGCTCTTTTATTATGAGTGAAATATGTTGAATGCGATTTCGTAATGCCCTATTTTAACTCAATCTACAGCATCCCTCGGTGCAAATCGGTACCCACTGTGTGATCGGACCCAACGTCACTCTTGGACCTAATGTGTGCATAGGGGACGGCGTGCGGATTCAAGACTCTGCTATTCTTAGCGGAGCCAAAGTCCGTTCTCATTCTCGGCTAGAGGGAAGCATTGTTGGTTGGAATTCAGATGTTGGACAATGGGTAAGGATAGGTACTTTCTAGCTTTTGCTCTTTTTCAACTGCACCCACAAAATGGCAAAAAACTGCACGATATTTGGCACTTTGACGCATAATCTTTGAAGTCTTTGTTTTTGGTCCGGCATGTATTATTTCAACAAACGGTTCTATCAAATACGTTAATCTCATTGAATGTAGGGATGAAATATAGACTTGTTTAAAAGGCAATTTCGTTTTATGTCTATGAAAAGCATTTAACTGTTAGTATTTTACTCAATGTTGCTTACTCTATTTTTAAAAAGGCAACACAGAAAAGGAGTAAACGCTTAATTTCTACTTTTTGCTATGTAATGTTTTACATTTATTTTGATGCGTTTGCTCCCATACAAGAGAATGTTGTCATACGTGAAGTCTCATGAGCGCTCTTTCAATTCGTTTTATTGCGCTCCGATTGTGCGCGATTGTCAGCGCCAACCTCGATTAGGTTCAACGCCAATTTATAACGCCAGACTTTTGTAATAACTTCTGGTTAGGAACTGTATCTCAAGGTGGCCAAAAAGCACCGAAGCCGGCGGTTAGTTAAGGGAAAATTCATCAGTTTAATCATTTTTAAGTTGAAGTTATTAAAGTTTGCCCCGATAAAGAACCAACACCAACGTAAACTGTAGCAGCTGAGCCGTGATTTTGCTCCACTTAATTAATCAGCCGGGGAGAAATTCGATCTTGGCTGTTTCGTTAGACTTGACATATAATTGTTGGTCCTAACAAGTAGAGAAATTTGTTTCTCCTCGCCTTATGTGAAGCGGTCTGGTGACCGTGATGTTCATTAGCATGGAACTTCCAAATATGCTAGCTGCAGGCACTAGTTGCACTTTAGGCAAGCGAATGACGCGGACAGATATGCCTGACCAGATGTTCAGCAGTGTTTCTCAAGTACTATTATTTGGCTCGCTTTTAATTTCCAAAAATTGCATTTCTGCCATATTATAAAGTCGGTCGACAGTGTTAAGTATGTCAAGACTAATGTCTTAATAAAGACTCTTAAACGAATTTACCGTGTAGAATTACAATGCACAATTCAGTTACTGTCATGTCGAGCATCATTTATTTGTGTCCACTACCCCACTTTTTTCAGTGTTAGACTCCAGGAGAAGCCTACTTTCCATTCGTTAAATAAGCATTGTTTCGGCACTCTGTTGATCTTCCACTGCCATGTTATTTCGCCTTCAATCGCCCCATTAGAGTTTAGTAGCGCAGCAAAACACCGCAATTTTTTAGTTTGGGCAACAGACTACCATTGAAGTCGGACACCATTTACTCCTTCCTGCCTAGAGGCATTATCACTGGGTGCATAAAGATTCCTTCCTTGGGGCCACCTATTTACTAGCCAAACTGAAGAGGTTTAGATCATTCACATTTTAGTAATGCTTGGCAGAAGGACAGTAGTTATGATTTTCTTTGTGTGGTTTGAATACACTACTGTAAATACGTTTCTTTAGCTTTTCTCTATTTTTCGTTTTTGAGTCACTTAATTTCACCAGAGGCAAATTTTTTATTTCGTTTGTGCATTTTTTTGCAAGCCAATTTGTTACTCTTCCTTAGTTCTTCCGAGGTTTTAAGAGCACAGTTGTTGGGATTTTGAGTTGCCTTCTACGAACTTGTCATATCTCCTCTGATAGTCCTTCGAATTCGCGAAAAACACTTTGTTGAATAGATGCTAGTCTAAGTTGCTACGCGTGTGACTTAGACATCAGTTCCATAATTTGTTAGTACGAAATGTCTCCTAATGGGTCAACTTCTTTCCATCTTCCCCCTTTTCATTATCTTCTTATGAATAATCATATTTAACACCTTACAAATCTCCAAGAGCATTAATGTAGAGATATCGAAGTACAATATCGACAAGTGATGGTTGCTTCGGTTTCAGAGACTTCTGTGACATGGTTTACCATAACACGCGTATCAGGACTATGCACGGGCTTCGTTATATGCACTTCAACACGCGTTTCATGGGCCTCGGTCAATATGCATTCCATGGATGCAACATAGAAAGACTTAGATCGTTTATAGTTCTGCCTACTGAACAAATTTGCCAGTGGACCACTTTAAATGCGCGTTCGACTTCATTTACTCCTTTCCGAAAGCTGTGTGATTGCACAATCCTAGCGATTGGCCATTCCATAGTGCTGCATGTGAAAGATGTGCCCTTTAAAGGAATTCCAGTAATGGATGTTCTCAACTTATGAACTACGTGGCAGTGTGTGTGTGCGTGATTAATTTTCCAGGAGAGGGTGTGCCCTGTTAAAGGCTGGCTTCTTCCAGAAAGCACTTTTTATTACCGCACAGGACACCCATCTTGTGCGCAAACGCGGCCACTTCAGGCAAAACGTTTGGACGCTTTCCTCCACCTAGATTAAATGATGACACTGCGAGCTGCACCAATTTACTTTTCGGTTAATCATGCTGCTTTAATGGAGTCTATGCCCATTTTTTGGAGCATATTTTATAGACCTAGGAATTTAGCGAAATTTCGATTAGCACCTTGCTACATAGTACACCTAAAACTGGGGGAGCTGTAAAAAGGTACTGAAGGTCTTAATGAAGTTCTAGAATTAGCACTCTAACCAAATAAATAATTCAAATTGTTCCAAGTGTGGTTTAGGCCACGCTTAATTAGAACTGTGGCCACCCTACAAGATCCGTTCCATTTGCCTTGGGATTGCAACCCCTTCTGCAGCCCCAAACCAGAGGTTCAGTGACCTCTACTCCACTGAATGGGTCTTTTTACTCCATGCGGACGATGGTCAATGACCTAATGAAAACGTTTTCCACGACGTACAATAACAATTTTAACAAAGATTTATCGATTGAACCGTGACAGTTGCCATAGCAATAATTCATTTGGGGCGCAAGTCACTATATGCCTAAATCCTCAATGGCAAACCAAATTCTGACACGATTCGGCAGAGTTGTTCAGTGAAGCTTCACCAGCATGGCTTCAAATTTCGATCTGGGTGTCGTCGGTGTTAGGAATGAGTTGGCCGTGGATTTAACATTTATCGGACAGTGGACATAACCTACTGACAAGAAACTATGACAGGTGTACTAAGTAAACCTAACGCGACTTAAGTCAAATGATGCAAAGCTTGGAATGTGAATAAGACTTAAGCTCCCGAAATAAATTAAGAGCCTTGTTACTTCTCACTATAGTAGTGCTTGAAGGACCAGATTTACCTTTTGACATCTCACGCCGGCAGAGGCAAGAGCGTGCTGTAATGGTCTGAAATTTTACGGCAAATTATCTGGACGACACTTTACACTGCATTTGAGGGGGATTTGCGTCATTCTGGAGGCCACAAAAACACGACAAGCTGTACAAAGCACAAAAAGATAGTTGTTAAGCAATGCGACCTAATAGAAAGTTCTCTGTGAACAAATTAACGCCCAATTCGTCAACGTTCTGATGTTCGTATGCACCAAGCCCGGCGTTAATTCGTGTCCTCAACAGATCGGTTGGGTTTGGAATGACAAAAAGAGATGTGAGGATGATGTTCCGTTAAAGCTTTGGAAGCACTTGGCTTGGCTAGCTTGGTAGCGCAAGGATTGATGCCGTTAGGACAATACAGAATCTGGGCTGTAGCAGTTGATCTATCTCTGAGGTGAACCTTAGTAGCGGAATGCGAGGAAAGGTAAACGCCTCCACTTTTTCCAGAAATGATCCACTTTATCCTTGTCTAGGCGCGTTTGGAAAGTGGCACAGTTCTAGGCGAAAATGTGCACGTGAGTGACGAGGTCCTCCTTAACGGTGCTTTAGTCCTTCCGCACAACCTCGTCTCTGCGTCAGTCCACGAGCCTCAAGTCATCCTCTAGTCTCCCCCTTCCTTGTTTTCCTTTGTTCCATTACTGTCCAATAGTGCTCAAATTCACTCCACTGTCCATTTCATCTCGTATTCAACACTATGCATGCACATTTGTACATTTAGCAAAGGAGACACGGGCAGTTGCGTTGTTTATAGGGAGAATCCTTGAAACTGGCGTTGTTGCACGAAGCCAGATGTCTTCCTGGAAGTCGATTTGAATAAAGTGCCATGCATTGTACGTTTTTAATGTTTGACCATAAGACGAATGAAGCAGCCCTTGTTAACATCCTTCGACTGCTATCGGTGCGAATGCACACATCACCATCGGGATCGGCAGCTAGTCACTCACTTCACTAATCCTCACTTTAATCGTCGAACCAGTGCATGGAGAAGATGAATTACACGGCATCACAGTTCAACTTTATGCCGGAAATGCCGCAGCCGAGACCCAGGGAACTTAGGAAGATGACATCTACTCCTTGTTAGTTATAGAGCTAGAGGTAACTTTCTGTGCCCCTACTGGATAGACTCATTGAAAGTCATTGTCAGTGTCAGAGAGACTAAGTGGATCCCTAAGGTCTCACCAACCAATGACGAAAACCGGTACTCAATGAGCATGAAGTTTGCGGTGATGAAGCTTCGCCTAAATGAAGGTGTCACACTTGACATGCTACCAGTGTATGGCACTCAGTTCCGCCAAGTTGTATCACAGGTGGAAGGGTTAAATTTAAAAAAAATGCCGTAGAAGTAGGATATTCTTTTGAGCAGCATAACTTGAAATGGAACATATACTTCCTTGAGCTGACAAACGAACTTCCGACAATCCACTGGCGAATGCGTCAAGTGCCCCTGGAAAAAGGCTTTCCCAGGGGGTAATTTTTCCGTAAAAAAGACAGTAATCGGTACATAATGCAGGGAAGAGGGGGAGAGAATGGCACCTGCAAGCTGAATTGCAGACGCATCATTTGTGCCACCCAGATGAAATAAAGAGCAATCACCAAGTTACTTTGGCTGCACACTACGGGATCGATTTCATAAATGCTTTTGTTGTTCCATGGTGCACCGATCTAAAAGGCAAAACAGAAACAACAACATGTGAAATAGAGACGACTGATGTGGAAAACGGGCGCAGCTACTTTAATGCACGACAAATTATTAAATAACCCTCAAAAAGACCCTTAATCGCGGATGATCTTGGATGATGAAAATAAGCTTACCTTTTTCGATTATTTACCAGTCCCATCAGCGGTTCGATGTACGTCATTAGACTGGCCTACAAGGAAAACAAGCCAGCAAAGGACTCACTTAGACCAACCAAAATGAAAAACAATAGTCAGGAATTCGACGGTTTACTGACAGAATGTACATGGCTCTCAATAAAATGCGTTGAAGAGGCCTGGATGTTGGCAATAAGTGTTCATCATGTATCAGAGGATATTAAAATTTATTTGAAAATAAAGTGATTCTAATGCGCCACCTTGCTTCATTCGAATTAAGTCTGAAACGCTCAATGTACACAAATATTTGAGCGTTTTTGATTTTACACTGTTATGGAGATGCATAGTCGCCATCAATACTTCAAAAGAAAAATTTGGATTATGGCTTAAATATCCACCGGGAAGATGTGAAAGAGGATTCCGTCGATGGCGTTTTTTCGACTCAGTATCATTGCAAACGGATGCAAGGCAAAGAACTATTGAGGAACGACAATTCAACCAGTCTGGTCAGCACAAATCACTGCCAACAAGTTGGCGAAACAACTGTGCAGCCGATAGTTGAACATCTTGTCTGATTTATTATACAATAAAACTTAAAACCAAAACGGAGTAGTTCACATTTCTAACAATATTCTTAATGAAATAATTCTTTGAATGACCGTATAAAAAAGTGCTAAACCTTGTGCAATGAACTGGCTAGTGACTATTAGATAGCAAAATAGATCTTCAAACGAACAATGTCACGCTACTTTCCCTAAACGCCACGACGCAGGAAAGATGGAATAAGAGGATGGATGTACAAATATCGCGCTACGACAAAACTACACCGCATCTCAGTTGAGTTCGAATACAGCCATAGCTTTAAGGCCTAATAGGAAAAAGAGGATTTCAAGTGAACACGAGTGAATGTCGCAGACTGGCGTGACTACGAAAAAAGCAGGAAATAATAGGATATAACCTTGAGCGAGGTCGTACTGATGTGACCAGCTGATATGGGGCTCGGTGAGTTTGTTGTAGCCAGCAGAAGCCGCGCGCATTTGTTGCTGCCGAAGTTGCTGTGGTTGGGGTGGTCGAGACACCAATGAACTCTGAACAATCGGCGCGGAGTAGACGGAGGGAATTGAAGCAGTGGAGACGTAGGAGACCGAAGAAACCGCAACGTTCCAGGCCTGTGCCGGTGCTCCCGACACCACCCTTGTGGTTGCCTGCGCTGCTGGGTGCTGCGGTTGATGGTAGCGGTTCATGAGGATGGGCGCGGCTGTAGTTGTGTAGCGCACATTCTCGTGAGCAGCGAGACGCTGCTTTTGAAGAATCTGTTGTTGAAAAGCTGATATAATGTTTGACACCGCTTGAAGGGTCATACTGGCCTGAATGGATAGACAAGGATTTTAAAAATCGACACATTTGCGTTAGGGAAGCGCAGACATTACGTACGAAAATTTAAATTGAAATACATAAGGTATGTAGATTGTCACATACAAGACTAGCCGCTGAGTGACCCAGGCTTCCAATTTTTGGTGCTACTTTTACACAAATAAAAACATTCACCAAGTCAAACAATCACCTAGAATTAAAATTCGAGTGAGTTCGTTGGGCAAGTTACAAAATCGTTAATAGAATATAACGCATTTAATTTCCGCCCTGAGTGTGGTGAAGCGGAGGTCGCACATTACCTGTTGTTGCTGCTGTTGAGAGACATTAATGGGAGCGCGACCGAGAAGCTGACCCATGGAGACAGTGACAGAGGGAACGGATGCGCGGACAGCGGGGGGAGCGGCGGGCACGACGGGGGTAGGGCTCTGCGACGCGCAGGTGACTCGCCGGGATGTCAGCACGGGGGATACAGCCTTGGAGGCGATACCGGGCTGACTAAAGTTGGAAGAAGGTACGGAGGAAGTGATAGCAGTGGAAGGTAGGGTCTGCAGCTGGGGTGGAGAGTCCTGCTGGACCTCGGTCAGGTCGATCAAAGGTGCCACTATGGCAGCCTTAGGAGTGTCCTTCTTGATTGTGGCAGCAGCGGAGACAGGAGGTGAGGACGTGGCAAACTGCACCATATATACACCGGTCTCTTTGCCGCCAGTACCAGCAGCAGAACTACTGACATGGGGAGCAAACGTTTGCTGTGGGGTGGAGGGAGAGATGTAACGCGTATTAGAGGCGCCCGAGGTGGCGGGCAATGGGGTGAGAGCGGACTGGGTGGTACGGAGAGGGGTAGCAGCAGCGACAGAAGTTGACGGCTTTGAGGTGACTGAAGATCTATTTCCTGAGGCCGGTGAAACAGTCGCCGTTGTTGCCCTGTTTGGAAATGCAAAAGTATTGACGGCACCGATGGCTTTACTGAACACAGGTGCCACCGTCTTTGAGGTATTGGGAGTGGAGGACGTAACTGTCGGAAAAGCACCAGGCATTCTGTGAAGCAAGTAAGGAGATGGCGGTAATTACGAGCTGTCAAAGAGTTACCTCATTGCTCATCCAATAGATGTAAAACTTACAATTTGTTCAACATGCCTTGATAGGTAGACGAACCTGCTCGCCAAAGGGCTCTACAAAAAAACAAGCAGATGAGCATCCGAGATAAAAAAACAGTTTCAATGGCTAGGCAAGTGACGCTACTTTAAATGGACTAAATCGTACGTCATTTTCCGTAGTTTAAAGCCAAAGACCAGATGATGAAGAACGTACGCGACAGAGATCCAATTGTCAGGCCAGAGAGGGATGAGAGTGTGCAAGAAACGCTTCATTTGATCCTCATCAAGGCACTTGCCCATCGCACTGAAGGTTGCTTCCATGCGGAAAGCGACTATTCGTTCAAGCAAAGACCTGCAAGTTAAAATAAATACCGCGGCATCATTATCCATTCGAATAGGTGAATGGGTAGGTTGAGAAGGGTTCCTTCACCTGGAGGGTTCGTATCTTAGATTAACAAAAATAAGTATCTTGATGGCCTCAAGAACGGAGTATTTAAAGGTACAACGAGAAACTGGTCCGATTCATTGCATCAAAACCGCCCATAAACACCCGCATGACTAAAACCCCCACAAAACTGATAAGCTGAGGAAAAATAACAGCCAACATTTATTCCAGGAAAATAGGCAAGAGAACTAGACTTAAATGTCGAAGAAAACTCCAGACTGTCCACAATGTCAAAAAATCTATTTTAAAATGCCACTGAATGCCTGAAAAATACAAGATACCGATCAACAAGGAGTTATAGCAGGTTCAGTTTTTCATTAATGCTCACGCAACCACACAATCCCACTTCACACAAAGTAACCATTTTGCCTTCGATAGGTATTTGTGGTTTGCTCGTTTCCCAATCGACCGTACACAAAGAACAGACGACCCCTGTCACCAACTTTTAGAAGTACGGACATTCACTTCGTGTAGGTCAAAAAAGTGGACTAAGACCTCGATGTTGAAGGAAATTAAGTATGCCAAACTGTCGTTCTGACTTACCGACAATCAGAGTTCCACCGGAATATTTTCTTTGGAGCACCAGGACGTTTGGCCTCGGGGTTTGTTAGCCGCCTAGCATTAGTGTAAATAAAACGGTAAAATCTAAAGCGCTGGAAGCCGTAAACGATGTCAGTTCTCGGGTTAGTTATACCCAGATAAAAAGCGATCTACGGGATGAACGGACATTCACAATCAAACATTGCGTAGCAAAATGGTATTTGGAATCACGCTGGCCTTGTCGGTCTCCATGACAGTGGCGTGGAGCTCTATCCATATCACCGTTAATAGTGGTATTTCCGCACTTATGCGCATTAGCAATGCATAATAACAAATCTAGAGGTGATTCGGATATAATAATGCAATAATTGTGAGATTTCGTCGAAATGGCATCAGTTGAGTTAGCTAGGTTTTGAGCAAAATCGCTCCACTCGGAGATCAGGTTACCGGCATCCAGAAAATAAGATGAGGTAGCGTTTCATTGAGACAAATGCCAATTCTGTGTACACGTTCAGCTAGCGTGAGTCCGTCTCAGACATCTTCGGCAATAACCTCAAATAGCTTCAAAAAGCAAGTACAACTAGAGGTATTTTAGTTCATACTGGATGCAAACAATGTAAATGGTAAATAATACTAGTGCATTATTACGACCACTTTTGAAAAAAAAAATAGTTAAGACGTTAATCAAAGGCGACAAAACTGTGTTGAATGGGCAAAAATACATTCAAACTTAAGAAACGTAGAAAAAGGTATTGCATGAGTGAGAAAAGCAAACGATCAATGTGTATCTAATCAAGCCTAATCCAAGAAGGCAACTTACTCATTTTCCCAGGTATTTAAGCGCTCTTGGTAGTTTGTCAAATCACGATTATAGGCAGACAGAATGTCGGGCATAATCTTCGACACGGCTGAAAGATAAAAATAAGGTGTAAGCTATGAAGATTAAACAATTGCCCAATGAATAAACTAAATGCTACATTGCTAATGCTTTAACCAAAGAATATACTATAGGGCTTTCATATTTGAAGGACCCACCGTCCTTAAGAGCAATCAGCATGGGCTCCAGCAAGGAGTCGTCTTTGAGTTCCTTCAGTTTTCGCAACCGCCCAACTAGCGTCTTGCTTTTCATACACAATTGATTCGCAATATGCGCATACACTGCAGACTTGGTCATCTTCGACAAGTTCTTCTTAATCATCAGCTCATCAAATCTGAGTTAGACAAAAGGTGGCGGCATGAGGGGCAAAACATTTGTGTTGGAGTCAAACTTAAGGTAACAACTAACCTTAACAACTCGTTGTCGAATTGGGGCGGAAAGAGCAACTTGGGCAAAGCTTGCGTAGAACTTTGCTTAAACTGAACAAAAAACAGCCTTTAGAACTGCAAATTCACCAAAGTGGAACATGACCTAAGGGGAGCAAACTTACGGCCAAAATTTTCTGCACCTCAGAGCGCAAATCCTCAGAGAGAGGTGGCAAAGGAGGGGGGTTCTGATGATGATGATGCCTAGCAGGCGTAGGAGGTTTCGATGAGATCGTCCTATTGTTTGAAGTCGCCTTACTATTGGAAGAAGTCGTCGAAGGCGATTTATTCACCTCATTTTGCGTGGAAGCGGAAAGCACAGAATCGAAGACGGCGTCGAGGGAGTTGAGTCCATTCTTTGTAGTCTTACTACCCGTAGACACAGCAGCAGCGGGTGCGGCTAGCTGCTTCACGGCTCTCTCCAACAACTGTCTAATGGAGGGTTGAGAATTAGAATGAAGAGAGGCTGTACTTACTTTGACTTGTCCTTTTTGAGTTTGGGTCGCTTGGGTGATGGGGGAGAGAGATCAATTTTTACTTTCGGTGCGGAAGGTGGCGGCTCGATGTCCATCGATCTGTCCTCAACGCTCTCAAGAAAGCCCTCGTTGACGAAAAAGCCACCGTGTCGGGTTCTGAGAGTGGGAGCAACGATCAGTTCCACTGCCTCTGAATCGTCGATGAAGGAGTCCTGAGAATCGTAGCCCTCCCCGAGATCAATGAAATCATCCACTCGGAGACGTCGCCGTTTGCCCTTATTGGTTACTGTTACCATATTACCCTACAGCTGAGTATGAATCCAAAATCGAAGACGTACGTATTTCCTTTCGAAAGACTTTGCTAGCTCTATCAAGCGAGAGTCCTCATTTCCGGTTGGCACATCCAGACCAATGTTGATTCCCTAGATGGAGAGGAAAATAAGTTGATAACGCTGCTAAGTAGATATGGTAAAGACGTTCAAACGAACAGATGAAATAAAAGAACATTAACACAAATCACTATTCTGAGAAAGCTACCCACCAGTATAAATGTAAATTGAAATACCAGAAGAATCTTACAAATTAAAGACTGACTTCACAAAATTGCCAGGTGATTATGGACATAGTAAGGTGAAATAACATAAACTTCTTGACTGAATTTTGGCGTACCAGTTCAGACTGTACAAGATCAATATAGGAGAATTCATTACGATTTTCATTTTTTAGAAGGTCAATTTCCAGAACAACTGTCTTGTCAAACATTGCAAAGCAGGTATCACTATAACCGAAAAAAGACTAATTCAGAAATAAATTTGAAAGAGAAAACAACTGATGCTTTTAAATGAATAATAGGTTCACAGAGGTCGAACACAAGAATGATAGATCAAGAACAAGGTAACAATATATTTGAAGAAGAGGGGAACAATGAAGAGGATACGCTTTAGTACCCGAAAACTACAACAATATTCAAATTGAAAATACAATGAAAAATGACAAGAACCAACTATAGAGCACCCACATTTCCATTGATAATACACATGAGGTTACCATCGCGATGTCACATTATGTTTAAAATTGACTTTATGTCATTGCCAACTAATAAAACCTAAAAAAATTAGACGATGTATAAATAGATAAGTAACGCGTTACATTAAACCAAACCATCATCATTTAAGAAGCAATCATAGATCATGTAAGTAAAGGCTGGTAAACGACAAAACAAAGCGAGAGTACAGTAGAGATGGATTTTGAGCATGAAACATTCACACTCCTTAAAACCTGTATCCAACGTTGAGGTGCACAGAAGTGACAGCCAACTCAAATCGCCATTGGCTAAAATAAACATTCATTTGCTGACAAGGTCACTCATCATCCATTGTATCAGTAAGGAAAGTAAACTATATCATTCCAAGTTTTGTTTAAACTAGTAGGGATCATATCAGTCAAATATTTTATTAGAACCCCGGATCTTGGTGCACAGCAAAAACTTAGGACAAGTTAATGTGGAGGCGTTTTTTTGTTTCAAATTAGAAGGGCGTTAGTGACTGACAGGATACAGCGAGTGAGTGTATGCTCCACCGGATAATCTTATATTTTGGTTAAACAAGGAAGTCACACACAAGCTCAAATGTGGTCCATCGAAGTAGCAGTGTACCTTTCCCCACACTTTTAACTTATTAGGACTAATTTTGTTCTTTTTTGGGCTTAATTACATGAAGCTAAACTGAACTGAATAAATGCACGCATATCGGTGATAGCAAAAGCGTGTGTGTCATTTTATAGTGTCTCCAAGGAAATATTGCCGATGCTTTCACTTATATCACCCCTTCTATAAAGTATTTCTAGTTCTGTAATAACGGAGACTAACCATTTTTGCAAAGGCATGGGGCATAAAAACAGCTGGCGCCATAGTGTCTCAGCCACTTGTTGCAGTCGTAGTAAGCCGAAAATTTAATGGAATAAATATACTTTTAACGTATAGAAGAGCTAAGAGAATGTTAGGGTGACTCAAAGGTCATGCTGCAATGTAGAAGCATAAGATCGGGGCACCAAAGCACCAACGTAGTTGAATGCAGTGTCAGAATAACAAGTCACTTCATAACCCTTCCTTCCGTCTGGCTTCGTCCTTCTCGGTCAGTTTTCTTAAAAATACCTGCTATCTGGTAACGCTACTTACTGAATTTTATTGTATGTAAGGGGATACTTGATCCCATCAGCAATGATGCAACTCTTCATTTGCATTATACCCCGAGTTTCGTCCTATTTGTGAGGAGTGCCGTGGAATGCAGAATGCACGAACCTTCCACTGCTGAAAATCGAAGTGCAAGATGTAAGCTACTCTTTTAACTCCTGGTTTTGGTAGAGGGGCCTCTTAAGTGCCCCGCCATTGCACCTTCGCCAGGTGAGCTAGCCTTCAGGCCATATCAGTAGCCCCAACTCCTACTCCACGTGGACACTGCATAGCCTGCTTAAGTATTGTGTAATACGATGGTGGTTTATCTCTTGGCTTTGGTGAGGAGCCACTTTTGACCTGGCCATTGTACCACGCAGGGTGAGCTGGCCTTCGGGCCATGCCAGTAGCCCTAGTACCTTCTGTATGCCAAATACATATATTCTACCCGGGTGTCATTTCTTCTCTTGTCTTTAGGAAAGTCTTGGGGCGCTACAATTGTGTCTTCTTTCGCCTTCAAAGACGTTTCGGGGCGGTACTTCATTGCAATGGAAAGCGAGCACGATCCCAAAGGACATTTGTCTTGATCTCTACAACTGAATGATAAATCTTTACTCGACGGAAGAAGATTACATGCTGCAGATGGGGAGAATGCGGGATGACCCCTAACAGATAGGCTGAAACGACAGCTACCTCAGTCCTGTGTTCTGTGGGAATGCTATTAACAACAGCTGTGAACTACTGAAGGCTGTTCTGTAATGGTGTCGCTTCAGTTGTTAATGATATTCTTTCAGACTGTGTAATTGAGGTAATCGCCAAGTTTAGACGTCACCTTTAACCCTTCTGCTAGAAGTTTCCATGGATTCACCCGTCCACGGCGGGCATCCCACTTCTATGGCGCTAATGTTTTGCAATCAGCCATAAGAACCAGGATAGCGGTTCCTTTGAGTCGGTTCGGCTTGCCGCTGCCAACAATGTAATGCTTTAAAAGTTCTGCTCCTTTATCTCCGTTCTCACACCCTTAAACTAGGGGGGATCAATGAGGAAAGGGCATTACGTATTGCAGCAATGCAAGCTTTTAGGAATTATAAGCCTTTCGAAGGAATCAATGACCACCTCTGATTTACGAGGCACCTATAGGGTGTATTCAAACAAATGTGTACCATCTTTAGGTGCCTGGAACTGAAATTCCAGTAAGACACGATTTCTACTTCCGCAAAATCACTAATTTTCTTATAAAATAATTCAAACTGCCAGATCTCATCTATGCTTGTAAATGGACACTAGAGCATATCGCTTATTCACCTGCGATAACCCTTTCCCTACTGATTGCACCCAAGCCACAGATCCTCTTCGGTTGATGAATTGATTTGATATCGCATTACCTACTGTGCTAACAAAAGTAATGATATTCACCCCGATATCCTAGAGGACAGCTAATTATGGCAACAACTGGCTATAAGAAAACTGTAAAATAATAAGAAAAGCAATTACATAATTAGATTTTACTCAGCCAAAACAGCTTGAACTATTTAAAAAACAGAACCTACAACTTCATATTCCACAGAGCAGGGACAATAGAGTAAAATAGGTGGCAAATAAGGACCAGGAGAACAGTTACCAGAACAGCGTTTAAGAGGCACACCAATTCCACCCTCACATCCTCCCACTTTTCGAGGCGACCGAAGAGGAGATACAAAATCCACCTTAGCAGGCCCACCGGCAGCTGCTGCCGCTTCCTATGCTGCCGCCTTGACTGCCCACTTCGACTCATAGAGCACCGACTCACACTGGTGAAGTGGCTCATCACCTCATTTACATCATCACCTTCACCGCCTCCCTGTCGGAGGCAGGTATAGCCTGGCGCCGCGTTTGCAGCATAGATATGCGAGCGCAGTGGAGAGTGGACTACGGTGGGAGGCGAAAAGATGGTTGAGTAAGCGGTGGGGGGGTATGCGGAGTGCAGCGAGAGTCTGTCCAATGAGAGCGAGTGGGCTCCCGACACGTTAGATTTGGGAAACCGGGAGGAGGCCGCTGACGCAGCATCGTAGGAGGGTGGATTGCTGTGAGGTGAAGCAAGAGACGACCAGGCAGCGGTTAGCTTCCTCTTTTGTTCCTTGACGCCTCCCTCCCTGCAAGTAAGCCATTTGTAAAAGAGAACACTGGTGCTGGCTACTAGAAGGAGGGCTAGGAGGGTGAGAGTTTGGATAGAGTCAAAGCCCAGGCGTGTAATGATTAAGTCAGTGGCGAGAACGAACAGTATGAAGTCAAGAAGAGCGAGGATGAGGTTACTTGCAGGGCGGAATGTTTGCAGTAGAAGAACGAGGTGCCCAAATGCACATAAGAAGTGTCCCCACAAAGCGTGATTGGGTTGGAGTTTTAACACAGATTTGTAGTCAGCGATGTATTCGCAATCGTGCTGAGGTATATTTAAGTCTATCATCTTCACAAAACGCTTGAGAGAAGATCTAGAATGGGGATGGCAGACGTGGTGATGAAGAAAGCCGAGGAGAAGCGGTATTCCAAGAGACAACCAGACTAATGTTGTGACAATTCGGATGGCAGCCAGAATAATGTACGATGAAGTAGGGGAACTCAGAGAACCCTGAAAACGCTCATTAGGCAAGGTATCGACTATGGAATTTTTGTGGTCTCTGTTGCGCCACCATGACAAAACGCTCGGTAGGATCTTTGCATCAATCTAAAAAAGGAAAGATGGTAAGTATACAGCACGCACATTAGAAAAAAGATTCTTACTATTAAAGAGCTTTCAGTGACTAATGGCGAGAGGTAAGGTAAGATAGAAAAAAACATACATTAGTATTGACTCAATAGTAAAACTAGAAATAACTCACTCGACAGTTTGTAAGACATTCCAGATGTTTAAAGTGATAAACTTTGAATCAAAATCAATGTGTTTTGACTAGTTAGGGAAAGTCGGCTTTTTACCTGGTTTATTCTCCTGTGAACTTTAATCGTACATGAAGGACATAGTACGCATCTACTTTCTAGTTCTTTCTTAAATTGACTCAGTTCTCGATCCCAATTTGCCTCATTGGATGGCTCAAATCGCGCCAGCTGATTAATCTTATAGGCCTGGCGTTGAGTGCACAAACTGCATAGGATGTCCGACTTCGAGTTATTGATGATGCTCGAGTTACGAGGCAATATAAAACCACGAGGATTTAGAGAGGCGTCATATTGGGCGGGGAGAGAACGATTGTAGTCACCTGACTCCGTGAAGCCATTGTACTGCTTACAGGAGAAGCAAAAGAAGGCGTTGCGATCGGACACCTTGACAGTAGTGAGAGATTGACAGAACCAACATTCCACCAAGATGTTGCGATTAAGGTATAAATGCAGAAGTCGGTAGAGGAAGTAGATTAAAGCACACAGGAAGAGTCCGCAAGTACCGACTGTGAGGATGTGGTGCGCAGTAAACCTTATAGGACCCATCAGTCTATAAAGCAAATACAATTTAGGAACAAGTAAGGTGCATGTAACACCCCGTAATCTCGTTACTGATTGTACTTTTAAAAGTCAGACGAATACGCAGCCAATGCAAATGATGTTAAACGACTACTATTTTTCATGTGTTACTTCTATTTAACGACCCTCATTCAAAGTAGGGTTCAGGATTTTGGTAAATGTAGCAATGCTAGGCTCAAAAACGCAGGTTAAACGACATGTGAATATGTGTAAAAACACTTAAAACAACCCAAGAGTACGTTATCCACAAATCGATGTTGGCCCACAGGGTAACCACAGGAATCAGAGAATAATAGGTTTAATCAAAATGACACAGCTTAGCGACAATGAAGTTCATATCGGACTAAATTGGCTCTACTACTTTAAGGCGAAAATCCGATGATACTTTGGGCGATGACAAAAGGCATTACTCAACCGCGACAGCGTGTTACCGTAAAAGCCGCTGTAAACCACCCAATCCCAATCCAAGGAAAGTAATCGCTTAAGGTCAATCTCAAATTTCAAACCCATCATACTTATCTAGCAAGTTAAAGGAATTTCTTCCATTTTAGGCTGGCAGCTGATCAGTATAAGTTGTCCTCAGTCGTTGACCAATTACAGCTCTTTAGAACCCCTTGTCGCATCTGTTTAGTGGTATGGTAATCCAGCTATATAATTCTGTATCAATATATATAAGTATACACCAACGAGAGCAAGAGTAATACAACAAAAGCGTAGCTTTACAGGTTGGACTTATAAAAAAATTAAGCCCGACGCAAAAATGGAATTATGACTTCATTTCCAAGTTAGACTCAAGGGCGTTGGCCTTGTTACCGAAACTGTCCACAGATAATGAAAAAGGCATATGAGGCGCCCTTTAGACTTTCTTAAAAACACAGGAAGACATTATGCTTAAAAAGGATATATATATTCGGGACACAGAAGGTATGAGGTCTACTGGCAGGGCCTGAAAGCCAGCCCACACAAATCGGTACGACGATCAACTTAAAAGTAGCTCTTCATTAAAACTAGGGGTTAAACAACTATCGTATTACCTAAAAAACAGTTAGGAATCAAGTCTACAAAATATTCCGAGGAGACTACTGGTACCTACTCCCTAAATAATATTGCTTCTGCAAGATGTTACCGAGCAATAAATTGAGGTGATTTTTTGCGTAATGATTCAAAAAATAAATAAATTAACAAGCCAAGCAGATGACGCAGGTCAAATGTCTATCATTGATGTGCTTGTTTCTCACCGAAAAATAAAAAGTGGTTAAAGAGCAAAAAAACATGGGCCGTAAAGCCTAAATTTGTAACTTATACATTGAGCATATAACTGTTTTCTTTTCTTCGTTTATCTACAATGTTAGTATTAGAATCTTAGAGAAAATATTAGTCCATAGTGTAAGCACAATGTCGTGTCTAGAGCCCTTGGCCTGGAAGATTACAACTAGAATCGTTTTAGCAGTACTTTCTTAAATAAATCTTAAAATGCCAATACTTGTTTATGCGTACTTAAGTGCCAACTTGAACTCACCGCTAGGGTGGTCAGCTGGTGGACGGTGGTTTTTGTTTCTGCTACATGGCGGTAGATGTCGGAAAAGCCCTTTTAAGGTTCACAGAAACACTTAGCGACCCCTCTGTCGACAAAGAAGCGGTAGATGCCTATTGTCTGTTCCAGTAATTTCTTACTGGTTTACTGTAATGTTTGCTAGGTTTCTGATGAGGTATTGTTTACTTCTTGCGGCAAAGGTCTAAAGTATAATAAACTCTCCAGTTGATTGGTTTTTTTCGTACTTAAGACCTTCATGTCTTACTAATACATTTATTACTGCTCTGCACTTATTCAGAAAGGAATTTTTACAATGGTTAATCGCTTGGATTTGTTACATTGAAGTCATAGGATATTTGATGGAATACCACTGTCGGACTTTTTAGCCTTATTAATTGGCACATTTTGCGCATATTTCGGCACTACTTTTTATTCATTTGTTTCCACAGAAACTTAAAGTCCTTCGTACACTGGATGAAGTCACATTAACCCTAAGCGAGTTGTCAAATTCCGGTGTTGGACGAGCTGTTCGTCGTCTAAAATCCGAGCCTGGTGAACTGGGTCAGAGAGCTCGCAGTCTTGTGATCAAATGGAAGGCTTTGCTTGATGAGCACATAAAGCGTGGAAACATTCAAATCCCAGAGCTAATGAGGAAGAAGCAGGAATTACCCGTATCGACAAATGAACCAGAATTCCAACTTCCTTTTCTACGGCAATTAAAGTCGCGCAAGCGTCCCTCTTCCCCTGAGCCTGTTTCTCAGTCCCTTGACGCTTCTTCGGGTCTTTCCTTCGAACAAGCCATGAGCATGACAGCTCCAATCAAAAAGAAGGGCAAGAAACGACCAAAGGTGGCGCATGAAAGGGAATTCACAGATTTAAGATACCCCAGTCAGGCATTTACACAGGAGATTCTTTCCTCCCTCTCTGTTCCTTTTGATCTTCCTTATATGCAGGAACAGGTTCCCGTTCCGAGGCGTCCTGGTATGTTAAATAAGGTTTTAAAAGTGTTTGTTTTTTTTTCAAAATTTGTACAAATTTCTCTTCTCGTGACTCATTTAACACGGTTTTAGCTTTGAGGCTAATAAAAGACTTCTCTCCTTGTAAACGGATACCTAGGTGGGAAAATGAATGATACTCTCTGCGTTGTTTATTACTACCGATTTCCAGTCAGCGTTATCGGTTCGTGATTTGAAAACGCCAGAGTAGTTAGGAGTCAGATGAGTTTATTAACTGTTTCAGTCAATAACTCATTTGTTCTCAGCACTTCATGGGTTTGCTTATTCGCATTGATATGGCCTGGTTAAAAGTAGTGGTCACTTGTGCAATTACGCCTGACAATTTGAATTATATCATGCAGCCATTCTAGTCGTTTCTTTACACGTGGTGAAGTTGTATTTTCGCTCACACTCCCACCGAGGTGATCTTTAACTCCTCAAAGTAGTAGCTGAGGCAATTAGCCACATCGGCTTCACGTGACTACAATATCTCGCAAGTGCGCATCTAATTGCTATCAAAGAATGAGAGATGAGTGTTTTTACCTTCAGTTTACTACGAAGCTTTTAGTGTTTGCCCTTTTCTTTGTTCGCCATAGACACCACTTCTATCAATGACCTCGCAGACGATGGTGATCTAAAATTTCGCTCGAAGAAAGTCATTTGGGCGCCGCGGGTGAGAAGGAGTGTGGATAACGGTACTGCACAGAACTCTGCCTCCCTTAGTGGCACCAGCGGTCTAACTGAACCGCCGACTCTGGTAGAGGCGTGTTTGTTAGTGCTGGCGAAGAACATCTCTCTTGTGGATAGTGTGGGTGAGGTGCCCTACGAACTCTTCTCACGCGCCCTGCAAGATGCCTCGCCTGAAGATCTCCTTCGGATTGAAAAGCACAATCCCGTGAGTCAGTTTAGTTTACGATGCCGCTTAAGTTGCTATTACTTTGCGGAAAAGTGTCAAAATTGTTTTATCTAGGATGCTTGAATTTAAAAGGTTGCTTTTTTCCTTCTGTGCTAGGTTAGCTGGCATTACTTTGTTTGGAATTGAATGGCGCTTTGTTTATAATTTATGCATTATTTTACGTAACCAAAGTTCGCTGTTTCTTCTATGATAGCACTATGTTGACTTTAATGTGTTCAAGAATCATCGGTAATGTTCAGTCTAAGATGCTAGGATTAAAAACGATGCTCTTGTTGGTGTTGTTCCGGACTAGTTGCGGGGTCTTGAATCAAATTCTCCCAGCCTTATGCATAACGTTAACTGGCGAGATTTTAACATACTTTCTGTTGCCAATGTAGGCGTGTGCTAATTCGGAGCCGCATTGGCATCACCGACAGTGTGATTTTAAGCTTCTTTTCTATACTGGTTTTGCGATGAAGTTAGGTTGGTTTTGCTTTGCATACAAGTACCGAGTGCGTTTCATTCGTGGCAGCTTTGTTATTGGTACTACCTGAAGTCAGTTGACGCCATTTGCGCTGGAATGTGTTACCGTTGCGCTTATCATTTTCACATGACGTTCAGGTGCACTCTTTTGTTGTTGTCTCGAGTCAGTTGATGCCGCTTTCATCGTAATCGACCTATTTTTCACCTAATTTGTGCTCGTGAAGGTAAACACTAGAATCTGAGCCTCAAGGGTTCCTCAAAATACTAACATTAGAGGCCACTGTTAATCATTCCGCTCCTTGTGCTTTTAAGAAACGGCCGTTTTGAACTGTTACCCTCAAGTATCTCAGTGTTGTGCATCATCAGGTACCCACAACTGAATATGCTGGCCAAAGTTATGATTTTTTTAAAAAACATTTGTTCCATCTTTGTTTGCGTTCAATTCTACTGAAACATATCGACTACTTGTTTCATTTACCCCAATCCACTGCTAGTTTAGTCCATTAAATTAGTCGTAAGTGCATTGTATCATCACAAATTAGCCGCATTCATATCAAATGAGCATCTTTGAATGCGTCGTGGGCTAGACATTAGCCTCATCAGTTTACGTGGCCCGGAAAATAATTTTCTAGAAAACTTAAAACGAAACGTCATCAACCTGAATGTAAATTGATTGAAGGTAAATCAGGTCATGCCGAGCCATTCATGATGCATTTTCATCATATTTTACATTGAAAGGTTACTTCCTATCAGCCGTCAGGGTATATGTTCAATCATCCGTAGAAATTGACACCTTAGCTTACATTTCTGTAGGTGTGAACCTATTGTATTAGTCGGTTTGATTAGACACAGAGCCAATTCATCTATTTTTTTTACCTACCTTGTTACCGTTTCAGTGTTGCCCAACCATCTTTCCGAAAGTGGCCAAATATTCATAGTTCAAGTGACACCTAACGTCAATGATGACCCAATGAATTATTGCGGATTTTTCCGATTCCTTCAAATCCTACCCCTGACTTCATTCCTATCCATAATTTGAAGTTTGTGATTCGTGAAGTTGCCAATAGGCCACTCAATTCTGACTGATACTCTGTTACCACTAAACCATCCACGACAGATACACACCTTCTTTGGACCTCTTAAGCCTAATATCAAGCCAATGTAGTCGAAATTGTCGTTCCTTTAGGGGAGGTTCGCTCAACCTCCCCCCCTCCCTCGCCATCACAGTGGTCCTCGGAGTATTTTTGAAGACATCATAAGGCATTACAGTCTGAAAGCGGGGAAACTATTGGAATCCATGCCATAAGTATAACCTCAGGTCACTAACGTGGTATTCAAATCGTAAGGGATCAAGGGACTCGCCTCTTCAATTATAAACCTGAGGTAAGTGTCGTTCTGTTTCATGACCTTCTCCTCCCTCTAATTTTGAGCATCCTCACCACTGCTTTTTATGATTACTTTTCTGCTTCGATCACTGCAAAGTAACTGAGAATGCATTTGGTGCCAGTGATATTGGTGGATCCCCTAGATTGCGGTTAATTCATCTCTCACGTCTTTGCAAATTGTGTTGGACGCATTCATCTGCCTCATGTCACTTGAGATTAGTCCACACCCCACAGTACTTCCTCGTGTGTTAATCACCTGTTTTATTAATGTCTGTCCAAGGCTGAAATCGTTTACTATTGTGCACCAAAAGGCTAGATTTACCGCCTCATGCTCATCAGTAATTCATTGTCCACTCAATGCTTGGTTTCATGCCACCACTGTAGTGGGCAAATCGTCGGAACACTGGAAAGAAACGAATAAAACAAATGTTACTCTGGTACAGAAGCAGCTGCATAGCATTAGAGTGTCCTTTACCTATTTATTTCTGATATGCTTAATCACATGAACATGTTCACTACTTGCTTCCTTCCATGTTGTAGAAATTCCGCGGTCTGATGGATGACCTGTGGAAAAAGCATGTCTACCGATGCTTCCCAGAGCGTCGCAATCTCGACAGTATCCGGCCAAAAGAAACGTGGGCTAAGATGTACGTGCGTCTAGAAGCAGAAAACTCGCGCCGACTCAAACAGTTCATCAAATGCTCCTCCACCAAGCAGCAGGCTGAGAGGGAAAGTGAGTACTCACCTAAAACTATTGTTCCATAATAATTACAATGGTCGTTCTGGCCCAGCTGGTATCTTTGTTTTGGCTAAAAGACAGAAAAGAAACGCCCTCTGGTATAGTTGTATTACTCATGTAAGCGTTTAATCAATACCTGGAATGCTTCGGCACAGAAAAATTTGCCACTAAGACTGAACCATTCTGATACAGCTTGCTTCACTTAGACGTCATTGTCGAAATGCTGATCTCAACAATTGCTTTAATACTCGTTTTGATTCTGAAGTGGCATGATTCACCCGTTTTTCGACACAAAAAAATGCTGCGACACGGAAAACCTCCTGATTTTCTTGTTAAAACGCTCCCTTACTTCAGTAGAGCATATAACTCGTCTGTACAAGTCAAAAGTAGAAAGTCGTCCTGGTACTCAACGTGCGCTAACCTTCTGAGAATCCGAGCGTACGGGTGCGCGAATGTTTTCTGTTCGT